GAGCATATCTAATGGTCGTTGTCCCTCACCTGGAGCAATGGCAATTCTCTGTAATGATAAATTCTTTACAGGATTATTATCTAATAATGTTTCTAGTGGATTTACTGTCACTGTACAATCTATGCTATTTAACCAATACCTGGAAAGAGCTATGTTGTGTTTTTGTTAGAGTTCCGTATTTACAAGATATCTTGCGGCTTTGTAAATCTTCGACGTTCTTATCGTTTCAGTCATGAAACTGTGTTCGTATTGCAGTGTGCACTTAAGGTCAACTTGCTCAACTTCAGTTTGATTGACTGTTCGCAGAAGCACATTCACAGTTGTATTTAACTGAATTGGTACGTTAAAACGGCACCACTTACAGCACAGTGGCGATTGTATCCTAGGGTATTAAGGGTATTCTAGCTAAAATAAATCGATCTTCTAACTGTGTTAAACCATGAAGGTCAGCTGGTATGTCTGGGAAATGTAATCCTTTAGAAAGGCATATTGAAGGTATTTTTCCACCTTGAGCAATTTTATAGCATGTATTACAAAATTTGTATGTTTTATTTCTGAAGAAAACTCAGATGTGGATATTTCCGCAATAATGTGATGTTACTGATATTTTTAATTTGTTTAATGAACCAAAGCACGCCGCAGCAAATACAAATTTCTGTTGGACCCCTTCTGGTTATGTCGTAGAACTCGCTCAATTGTCCTGACCTGTGTCTTATGGTGTCTGCTTGTAACATTTCCCTGCGGGATTCTGGGGAAAGATGCTGTCCAATATTAGCACTTCTCTCCGACTGATGGTTATTTTTAAGTTCACGATTGTAAGGATTCATCCGATGAATTAAGACACGACAATGTCTAGTCCTATTCTGCTCCTGAAATTCCTGACTAGCAATTCGTCGCGCTTCGCGACGTTGTTCAGTATTACGAATTTGTTCAATTGTGCGATAATCTACATCGCGTCTTCGAACATTGCGACGTTGTGGGTCCAATTCACATTCGGTATGTAGCTCTCATTACGTCTACGTTGGGAACGACGAAAAGTATCCCTCTCTTGCTCAAGTTGTTTGTACGTTTCATCCTGCCGACGAACTTGACGGTTGAGAACATCTCTCTCGTTCCACATCTCTATACACTTCATCTTGCCTACGGGCGTGGTGGCTTGATGCTTCTCTCACTCGCTCTATTTCTCTAAACATTTCATTCTCTAGAAGAACTTGGTGATTATGTGCATTTCTCTCTCGTTCTTGTTGTCTATAAACTTTGTCCTGCCAAAGAACTTGGTGTTTAAATGCATATCTTTATAGCTCTCTATAATTTTAATCTTGGCGACGAAGCTGGTGATTTAATCCGTTTCTCTCTTGTTCTTGTTGTCTAACAACTTAATCCTGCTGTAGAACTTGGTGATTGAAGGCATCCCTTTCTTGTTCATGTTGACTATAAACTTCGTCTTGGCGACGAACCTGGTGACTTAATGCATCTCTCTCGCTCCAATCTTCTATAGACTTCATCCAGGCGACTAACTCGATGGCTTAATGTATCCCTATCTCGTTCTAATTGCCTCTGGGATTCATCTTCCCGACGAACAGAGCGTTGAGCAGCATTTCTTTGTTGCTCGGATAAACTGTAGGTTTCGTCCTGACGACTTGATCGTTCATTGTGTCTGTTTCCCGCTCTAATTGCCTCTAAGATTCATCCTGTCTACGTCTTCTGCCAGAAGCTCTGGTGACTTTTCTTTTCCTTTTGTTTGTCCTCTTATTTCGCTGCCCAGACTATTTCAAAGCTTTGGTGACTTGGAATATTTTTTTTTTTTAAATATTTGTAATTTAAATGCGAAAAATTTTTTATTTTATTAAAAAATTGTCCTTTTTGCGCTTTGCACTTTTAATTTTTTTTTTGTTTACAATTGTTACTTTGTCCCGTAAGATGACGAAAGTATTTTCTGGATTGTATTTATGTTTTGTCCCGTAAGGTAACAAAAATATAATGTTACTAGTCTGTTTGCAATTTTTACTTTGTCCCATAAGATGACAAAAGTACTTCTTGTTAACACATTTAGCACTTTGGTTTTTTATTTTTCCCGTAAGGCAACAAGAATTTTTTAAATTTTTTAATTTCTTTTCTTTTCCTTATTGGGCGTCAATTAACGAATGGAAAACTATATAACTTAATCTAAAAAGACATTTAATAATGTTCGTAATTGCGAATCGCCTCCACTTTTTCTGGGCTCGTTTTGATGCCATCTCTAGATACAGTGAAGCCAATATATTCAACACTTTCCTTAAAAAAGTGAGATTCGAGAAACTCTCATGTTGGCTTCAAGCAATCTAGTCAAGACCCACGAAATGTGTCTAATGTGGTCTTCCTCGTTTTCGGAAAAAATTATAACATCGTCCACATAAACATAACATGTCTTTCCGATTTGTTCTCTCAAGACATCATCAATGGCTCAGGCCAAAAGGAAGTCTACAAAATTCATATTTCCCGTTTGCCACCGAAAATGAAGTTTTATCTCTATCTTGGTCTGAGAGAGTAATCTGATGAAATCCTGATTTGAGGTCGAGAGTTGTAAAGTACCTTGCTTTGCCAAGGTTTGCTAGTATTACTCTCACCTCTGGAATCGGATATTTATCATCGACTGTAATACTATTCAGTTTTCTGAAATCAATGACGATACGTTATTTAATGTTTCCTTGCTCATCCTTTCCCTTCTTAACAACCCAGATAAGGTATGGGTACCTAGAAGCCCTTATTATTCCATTTTTTAACAACTCCTTTATTTCAGAATTTACAAATTCCGCCACACCCATTGGGTATGGGTAGAGCTTGGAATACGTGGGATCAGTCGTAGTAGTACGAATTGTGGCCACGATATTCGTATTGTATGGAAGTGCCTCGTCTCACTTTTTTAAGGAAAGTGTTGAATATCTTGGCTTCACCGTATCTAGAGATGGCATCAAAACGAGCCCAGAAAAAGTGGAGGCGATTCGCAATTACGAACAGTCCACTACGCTTTATAATATCAGGTCATTTCTTGGCCTGACAAGTTATTACAGATGTTTCATTAAAGACTTTGCTGCAATAGCAAAACCTCTGTATGACATTTTAAAAGGGGAGAATGGGAAGGTTAGCGCCTCTCAATCAAGGAAACTTAAGATTAATTTTGATGAAAATCAACTCCAAGCTTTCCAAAGGTTGAAAGAAATCTTTGCCTCCGAAGGTGTCTTACTGTTATACCCTGATTTTAAAAAGCCATTTGATTTGACAACAGACGCTTCGGCATTAGGACTAGGGGCAGTGTTGTCTCAAGGTTGTAGCAATTATATGAGGCTGTATGGAAATGTGGCCTTTATAAGGAAAGTGATGTCTCACAAGGGAGAACCTTTGAAATGTTAGTATCGAACGATTGTCTAAGAAAATATGGCTTAAATCGGCAAAATACTAAGTATATGAAGGTACCGCTATATGTGGGATATAGGGCAACATGGACCCATACAGACAATGTTCGGTCACAAAAGGTAGAACCCATTACAAACTTAAGGTACCGAATAAAATCTGTTAGAAAATGTGGCCCATATTTAGGAGGTGCCGTTATATGGCAGCAATACGAAAATCTGAACCGACATGGCCGAACTTAACCTGTAAACAGGCAGACGCACTCTTGTGCAAAATTACATCTTTTGAAAGATAGCGTGATTACAACACACAAACAAACGGGCATCTATATATATATATTTTTTGTGATACTTTTTTGTTGATCTATAATATATACTTTGTAAGGTCCACCGTGAATATTCTGAGAAATTACAAACGGAATGACACTTTTAATGTACATTCCAAGGTATAGTGGGGGTATTAAAATACCGAATATAAGGAGGTACCGTTGTATAGGCGCTATACGAAGACGTGGACCTGAATATGTAATTTTGTGTCATATTGTTCATAAAAGATGCTAGATTTTTGCGCAACAGTGTTGTTTGTTACATTACCGGTGGCTGCATAAATAACATCATAAAAAAATGATGTACATATACACACACACATGCACATATATGCAGCCACCGGTAAATTCCAATGCTGAATTCAAATAAATAAGCATCGTCACCAGCCAAAACAGGTTTGCTGTGACGATGCAAATTTGAGTTAGATCAGTTCTGTCTCGAATTTGAAAGCGCGTACGCAAGTTTCCCCCCCGAAGTGAACAGTGCCCAAAAACAAAAAAAAAACCAAAGTGTTAACAAAAAAACATAATACAAAAAACATAAAACATTGTACAAAAAATTGAAAATAAAACATTGTACAAAAAAAAAAAAATTGAACAGATTGAACAAAAAACTACAAATAAACAAAAAAATTGTAAACAAAACATTGTACAAAAAAAAAGGAAATTAATTGAACAAAAAAACCTAAATCTATACAAAAGTGTAAACGAAACAAATTGAATTTAAAGAATTGAAACAAAATAATAAAAGAAAAAAAAAGCAAAAATAAACATCATCTTTTAATTAAATAACAAATAAAAAAGGTGAAGTAAAAAACATTTGGTCCTCCAGAGCCGGAGCATAAAGTGAAGTTTTTAAAATATTAAAAACAAAAAACAAAGTATTAAGTGGACAGACACAGTGAAGTGAAACAAAAACAAAAGTGCATAATAAAATATAAATAAATAAATTAACAAAAAGTGACGTTTAAAAAAGTGCAACCAAAAGAAAAAGTGAAAAAAATAGAAAGTACACTGTGCTACAAAAAAGTGACATTAAACAAACAAATATATATTTTTACAAATTTACTACAAAAAAAAGACAACACACAGTGCTACAAAACAAACAGAAAATACACAGTGCTACAAAAGTGACATTAAGAAGTGATACAAAGTGACATTACACGGTGCTACAGAACTAAAAGAAATTACACAGTGCTACAAAAATAAACAAAATTTAATTAAATTTTTTATTTTTTTCGTTAATATAAAAAAGGTCTACACAAAAGACAAAATACAAAAATAAAAGGTGTGAAAAAAGTGACAGTACACAATATCACAAAAAAACCAAACAAAATAAAGATGTACGCAAAATTGTGGAAGCTGCCAGAAGACCACGAAGGACCCCGGCAACACAACAACAATACAACAACAACAACAATAGCAACACTACAACAACAAATTTTTGAGACCCAAAGGCTAAATCAAAGTGAGTACTTAATCAAATTTATCTTGTTGGACATAAAGGGCATACCGGGAGCAGGCAAATCCTCAATATTTGCATTGACCCGAAGATTCCCATACTTTTAAATCTCAAGTTGACACTTTTTAAAGTTGCTGCGTTGCCTCAAAGACACTTTTTTGAGAAAATTTCCCTTTTTGGAGCCATTTTGTGGACGGACATCTAAATATAGACTCACATAGGCGCAATAAGTACTTATAAAATAGCGCGAATTTTCATACACATAAATATATAATATTGGAAATTGCTGAACGTGCAGTTCAAAAATAAATAAGCGCCATATTGGAAAAAACATTCTTATTGGAAAATTGGCGTCACTTGACACATATAAACGCCATATTGGAAAAAACATTCTTATTGGAAAATTGGCGTCGCTTGACACATATATAAACGCCATATTGGAAAAAAATCTAGCGTCACATAAAAATATATAATCGCCATATTTTTAACATTTTTGGCGTCACAAAAATACATAAGCGAAATACATAGCAACCGTTTGGTGGACAGACGGATTTTGCAAATAATAGCGTCTAGTGGACGGACATGAAACAATACTTAACCTAGAATTTTTTTCCGGATTTTTGGAAAAAAAATTAGATTGGCGTCTGTGGACAGACAAAAAAAAAATCGATCCCATATATAATATAACACATTTTTATTATATTTTACAAATATCTTAAAATTTTTAAATCAAGAAAAACATTTCTGGGACCCAAAATTTATTTCTGCATTTTTTCGCAGAAATATTTTGCTGGTATTTTTTTTTGCTTTTTGCTAAAACAAACATTTTGAAAGAATTCGCTGAACGAAAAAAGTTAGATTTTTGTGGAAATTTTAATTGGAGTTTGACACAACAAACATTTGGCTGGGATATACAAATTTTTTGGAAAATTTTGAAAATTATTGGAATTTTTCTGGAAAAAAAAAAAAAATTTTTGTGGAACTTGACCCAATACTAGCACCTTGTGATTTTAAATTAATTACCTAGCGTTTTTAGAAAATTTGTTGCTTCAAACAAATTTTCATAGCAATATTTTTGTCTCGTCAAAATTTAAAAATACTCCTGCAATTTTATGGTAATATTTTTGAGGATTCTTTGTTCGACAACCCAGCACACATTTTCATTTCAATAGAAAATATTTTTCATTTTTGGAAATATTTATTGAAAATTTTCATTTTCTACAATTTTACTGCTGGGAAAAAACCCTCGTTGGTGGAAAATCAAAAATCTTTTGGTCGTTTTTGTAGCGTTTTTTGCCTGTACAATCCTCACCTTTACTCTTTTTGGAATAATATTGATTATTTCTGGATTTTCTTAAAATAAAATATCCCTGTGAGTGGATTTCAAGATATTTTATGACACCTTGGTATATCTTGATTGAGTTTGACTTCTCTGGACAACCCAGCAAACATTTTTAAACAAAATTATTTCGGCGTCTCATACAAAGTAAAGTTTTTGGGATTTTGCAAGAACTTTCAAGTCTTTGGAACAAAACGAAATATAATTCGACCCAAACCAAAAATTGAACATAGATTTCGTTGATCAAATTGAAGAAGATAGCTTATCCTTATTTTTTAAAAATAAAAATTTGGATAAAAGTTTGAATCTTATTCCAAGTCAATCCTTTTCATTGGGTTGCCTTTCCTTTTTTCAACACAACAAAATTTCGGTAAAGGTTAATACTCAGTCATCAAAATGGATAAGACCCTAAGCGAAAAATTCGCAAACTGCGTCAACGATCTTCAGGATTATATTTCAATTTTTTCAATAACCAAACCGGATGACACGGTTCATACTTTGGAGACAACACGTATGGAGTTGGATTCTGCATGGGACCAGGTCAAAAGGGCATATTTAGACTGCCGTGATTATGTTCCAGAGGAAGGAGGAAAAACCATCGACAAAAATTAACTGAGGAAACATTATATGGATACCATGGGATCATATAAACAGGTGCTGAGTTCAATAAATGGACAAATTCAAAATATCTTGGATGAAAAAGCACAGGAGAAAATGAAAAGAGATTCAGAGATGTCACAGCAAGGAAAGGAAGTGGATTTTACGCCAATATCACGGCTGCCGCCATGCGACACAGACACTTTTAAAGGGGGTTATCGAGAATGGCCGACTTTCAGAGATTTATTTTCGGCAATTTACATAAACAATTCAAAATTAAGTAATGTCGAAAAGTTATTCCATTTGACTCAAAAGCAGGAGAAGCACGAGAAATTATAACGCATGTTCCACTAACTAATGATGGATTTGCATTAGCATGGAAAAATCTTACGGATCGTTATGACAACAAAAGGATGCAAATTAATGAAGAAATTAAAACACTTTTTAATCTACCTGGTGTTTCTACAGACTCAAGTCACACTATTCAAAAACTACAACGCACTGTAAATAGCTGTATTCAAACTTTGGGGATGCTTGACGTCGATGTAAAAGGATGGGATCCGATTTTAATATACATTTGCTCAACAAAATTACCTAGAGGCTTCCTAGAAGAATTCGAGAACTCATTAAGCGATTGTAAACAAATACCAAAATGGGAACATTTTGACGATTTCTTAACAAACAAATTCAAAACCTTGGAATCAGTAGGGAATATAAAACTCTCAACATCAAAATTTGTTCAACAGAAGCAAAATAACATCAATAAACCTAGATTTTTGAAAACATTTCAAACAAATGTCGCAAAAAATACAACCAATTTTGGAGGAAGAAACAACTTAGCACAACCTCAACAAAATAAATCACAAAATATTCAAACATGTCAAGTCTGCAAATCAAATCATTTTATCAGGGATTGCAGCGAATTTTTAAAAAAGAGTGTAAATGACAGAATTCACACTGTGAAAACGTCACACTTATGCTACAACTGCTTGTCTTCAAACCACGGAGTAAGAGATTGCAAAAGTCGCTTTGGTTGTCGTATTTGTACTATGAGACATAATACTTTGTTACACAAGGGGTCGGAAACCCAAACCACAAACACATACCTAGCTCGAGTGGAAGCACAACCTAGTACCAGTGCTGCTGCTCTTTCAACTCACATACAGTCCACTACCAACCTAGAACCAACTACTATTACCACTTTGACCCTCCAAGATGAGCGAGTTAGTGAGCAACAATCTGGAGGAACTCTACTTTTCACAGCAATAGTACAAATTGAAACCAAAGGACAACTTTACGATGCCCGAGCTCTAATATACTCAGGATCACAATCCACTTTTATTTCTGAGAAGATGAAAAACCTCTTGAAATTACCCACAAGGAACAATCTAGTTCATATCACCGGCCTTAGTCAATTTGTTGCCGAAACATCTAAGAAATCTTGCTTGTTTACTATGAGATCCAAATACGACCCTAGCTTTAAACTGGAAGTATGGGCTCCAGTTTTAAAGAATTTACCTTCAAATCTACCACCACAAAACTTAGATGAATCACAACTTCGAGATGTAACAGCATTAGAACTGGCTGACCCGAAATTTTACGTTAGTCAACCCATTGATTTACTTATTGGAATGGACATAGGAACATTAATATTCACACTTGGAACTCCGATGAGAACATTTGGATCAATTTTAACTCAAAAAACCAAATTTGGATGGATAGTTGGAGGACCCATACCGGGAAGCACTCTTCAACGAAAACAAATATCACTTCTAAATACAACATCAATAGAGAAAGTACTTACACGATTTTGGGAGGTGGAAGAGACCCCTAAAAAAGTTTTACGGTCAGAAGAGGACCAATTTTGTGAACAAAATTTTACTGAAACAACAATACGAAACAAGGATGGAAGATATGTGGTGACTCTCCCATTCAAAAAATGCGAAGAATTAGGAAATTCCCGAAACATCGCCTTAGCTCAATTCTACAGAATGGAGAAAAAACTTATGAAAACGCCCGAGATAAAAGAACAATATGATGCCTCAATACTTGAATATTTAGAACTTGCTCATATGCGGAGGATCAATCCGGATGAAAGAGACGAAATGCCCAATTATTATCTACCACATCATGCAGTAATTAAGCCAGATCGAATCACGACAAAGTTAAGAGTCGTCTTCAATGCTTCTTGCCCATCATCAAACAAAACAAGTCTCAATGACATATTGTTTCCGGGACCCATTTTACAACAAGATTTGGTACTACAAATTCTAAAATGGAGATTTTTTAAGTATGCTTTTAACGCCGATATTACTAAAATGTATAGGCAAATACTGTTGGATTCAACTCAAACAAAATATCAAAGAATTCTGTTTAGAAAATCGCCAACAGACCCAGTTGACGACTATGAATTACTAACTGTAACATTTGGAGTAAATTGCGCACCGTTTCTGGCACTGAGAACTCTTATGAAATTGGCAGATGATGTTCAAGATTCGTATCCAAGAGCTGCAAGAATTATAAGACAAAATCTTTATGTGGATGATGTACTTGCGGGTGGACACACAATTGAGGAGACTATAAAAGCTCGGAAGGACTTAGTAGCAGCGCTCGAATCCGCTGGATTTCAACTTATGAAATGGGCCTCAAATTATCATACAATAATAAAAGATATTCCACAAGAAAATTTATTGCCTCTTAACTGGTTGCATATCTCTGAAGATGCGTCCACGAAAACGTTGGGAATACGATGGAATATATCAGGTGATTTTTTCACTTTTACACCTCCAACCGTGGAAAACAAGAACATTTACACAAAACGAGAAGTTTTATCAACTATAGCCAAATTGTTTGATCCATGCGGATGGCTAGCGCCAATAGTGATCGTAGCAAAACTGATAATGCAACAAATTTGGCTGGATAAAATCGATTGGGATGATACACTGAAACCAATCACCCATATAAATTGGCAAAACTTTGTCAAAAATAGCAATGATATTAAATCTCTCAGAGTTCCAAGATGGATACAGTTTACACTAGATGCTTCTGTTGAGATTCATGGATTTTGTGACGCATCGGAGAGCGCGTATGGAGCCACGCTATATGTTCGGATTGAAAAAACTGACCATACCACACACACCTTTTTATTAGCAGCAAAGACTCGTGTAGCACCAATCAAAAAACTTTCAATACCAAGGCTCGAATTATGTGGGGCAGTCTTACTTTCCAAATTAGCAAAATCTATTACAAACAGTCTACAAATATCAAAATATTCAACACATTTTTGGACAGACTCTACTATTGTCTTGGCCTGGTTAAAAAAGCCTCCTTGTCATTGGAGCACCTTTGTGGGAAATAGAGTCTCGGAAATATCTGATAATGTTGGGCAAGAAAACTGGAAACATGTTGACTCTGAAAGCAACCCAGCTGACATTGCTAGTCGTGGATGTTCTCCAACTGAACTAACGACTCATGAGCTCTGGTGGCATGGACCTCAATGGCTCAAAATGCCAAAAGATCGTTGGCCATCGCAAGATATCCCAAACGACACAAATTTAGAGGCTAAAGCTGTAAAAGTTCTGACTATATTTCAAGAAAGAGAAGATCCATAAAAAAAATTCTCATCATTGGCAAAAGTCTACCGATCATACGCCTATGCTCTGCGATTTTGGAAAAATACAGGCGCAAATCGGCAAAATATTCGCTCCTCATCAATAGATCTTACCGCAGCCGAAATCCAAGATGGAAAACGATCTTGCATAATTCGTACACAAAAATTCGTTTATGCAGATGAATATAATTCACTAATGAAAAAGTCTCCAATTTCTCCATCGAGCCCTCTATTGACGTTAAACCCGTTTCTCGACTCAAAGGGTATTATTCGAGCTAATGGCAGATTAGTTCAATCTCCAGCCCTTACATATAGCGAACGTCATCCCATAATACTACCACACGGAACTACCCTTAGCAAATTGTTGGTCGAATTCACTCATAAGATCACTTTACATGGTGGTAATCAATTGATGACCCGAGTGCTAAGATCCGAATTCTGGATATTTGGACTCAAATCTCTGGTTAAACAAACTATACGAAAATGTCGAATCTGCTTAATTCACAAGAAACAAACCCAAACACAAATAATGGCCTCGCTGCCACCCGAACGTACTTTTCTGTCTCGACCCTTTACAAACACTGGGGTAGATTTTGCAGGACCCTTTAATATTAAAAGTTATTCAGGAAGGGCTTGCTTTATCACAAAAGGCTATGTTTGCCTGTTCGTCTGCTTCGCCACCAAGGCTATACATTTAGAACCAACTAGCGATTTATCTACTTATGCCTTTCTCGCCGCTTTCTCCAGATTCATAAGTCGGCGAGGTTGTCCGTCTTGTATATTTTCCGACAACGGAACCAATTTTGTGGGAGCGGTCGATCTATTAAAGCGAGATCGATTAGCTTTCATGAAGAATATTCAAAGTAGCACAATCCAAAACAATTTCAATCAAAATCTTACTTGGAAATTTATCCCGCCTGGCGCTCCGCACATGGGCGGTTTGTGGGAGGCCGGCGTTAAATCGTTTAAAATGCATTTGCGAAAAAGTATTCCAAAAATGAATTTCACATTTGAAGAATTTACAACTATCTTAGCAAGAATTGAAGCCTGCCTTAATTCGCGACCCTTAAGTCCTGGTAGCGATGATCCAAATGACCTTTCCCCGTTAACTCCTGGTCATTTCTTAATTGGAACATCAATTCTTACTCCTGCTGAACCCGACATTTCCGACACAGATCTTAGTCTAGTAAATCGTTGGAAACGACTCAAAGTTATTTCACAATACTTTTGCAATAGGTGGAAATTAGAATATCTCCACGAACTTCACAGAAGAACTAAATGGAAGCGTGAAAAGGAGAATGTCAAAGAAGGAGATTTAGTAGTCATCAAGGACGATAGGTTGGCTCCAAATGAATGGAAGTTGGGTCGAATTGCAAAAACATATCTCGGTAGCGATCAGAATACGAGGGTTGTAGACATACGGACATCAAGTGGCAACATTAGCAGACCTATCACAAAAATTGTCAAATTGTTTTCCGACTGACTAGCCGGAATCCTACTTAAAAAAGAACATAGTACTCGCCTTTGGTTTTTTTCAGATATGGCTGCCTACTTGCCCAATCAAGACTGCCGTTTAGATGATCGCAGCCGCAGTCCCAACCAATCCGCACGTCCAACAGCGAGAAGTTCTAGCAGACCCAGACGCCCAACCGAACCCATTCCCAGCAGACCGGCTCATAGACACCGCAGACTTCCCAGTTCCACATCGCCAGAAAGACGTCAACGAAGCCGCTCCGCTGCAAGATCCCGCCAACGCCAAGAACGACCCAGCTATTGGCAGTATTCCTGTGGGTTGTGTCAGGAGGACCATGCCCTAAGTGCTTGCGAGAGGTTTCGCCACCAGACCCCCTTCCAACGCTATGAGACCGTGGAGCGTAGGGGGTACTGCAGAAATTGCCTTGCCAGAAGTCATTTGGCCCCTGACTGTCCGTCGTTGACTGGTTGCAGGAGGTGCAACAATCGGCATCATACGCTGCTACACGGGGCGTCTCAGCTGGAGGAAGTATCCCTAAACGTGGAAGTTGTAACAACACCAAACTTTGCGTGGGATTTGGTATTTGTGCCAACGGCTATGGTGCGCATCAAGGCTGACAAAATAGAGGGGTACAGCATGCTAAGGGCATTAATCAGGCAATCAGCGACGATGTCCAAAATATCGTATGCGGCTTTCCGTAGATTGGGCCTACAATCGCGGATTTACAAAGGGCAGCGATTTACCACCTTTACGGTTTCGCCCCGCCGCACAAACAGCCACTGGAGTCTTAGAGTTAATGCCTTGATAATCGAAGATTTGCCCAGGCGCATTTACTCGGACCCAATCCTCGAGGACCCCACAAGAAGTTTCCGAAATTGCGCCCTAGCCGACCCTGATCCCCGAGGCAACAATCCCGTCGATGTGGAACTGGGTGCTGACGTTTACTCAGCCATAAGAAAAGACGAGTGCAAGGAGGCTGGAATTGGAGATGTCCTGGCCTATGATACCCAGCTGGGTTACGTGTTTGCCGGTCCAATAAAAAATATGCCAAAAATATAAGAACAACATTGTATTTCAAAAATGAATGTAAACACTTGTCATTCGGGGGCCAGAAATGTTCATAAAAGATGCTAGATTTTTGCGCAACAGTGTTGTTTGTTACATTACCGGTGGCTGCATAAATAACATCATAAAAAAATGATGTACGTATACACACACACATGCACATATATGCAGCCACCGGTAAATTCCAATGCTGAATTCAAATAAATAAGCATCGTCACCAGCCAAAACAGGTTTGCTGTGACGATGCAAATTTGAGTTAGATCAGTTCTGTCTCGAATTTGAAAGCGCGTACGCAAGTTTCCCCCCCGAAGTGAACAGTGCCCAAAAACAAAAAAAAAAACCAAAGTGTTAACAAAAAAACATAATACAAAAAACATAAAACATTGTACAAAAAATTGAAAATAAAACATTGTACAAAAAAAAAATTGAACAGATTGAACAAAAAACTACAAATAAACAAAAAAATTGTAAACAAAACATTGTACAAAAAAAAGGAAATTAATTGAACAAAAAAACCTAAATCTAAACAAAAAGTGTAAACGAAACAAATTGAATTTAAAGAATTGAAACAAAATAATAAAAGAAAAAAAAGCAAAAATAAACATCATCTTTTAATTAAATAACAAATAAAAAAGGTGAAGTAAAAAACACATATGGTTAGAATCTATAGCGAACTTCAAAACCGAATTTAAAAAAAATTCCGGTGAAAAATGTGGCTAAAATTATCAAAATACCGAATATCGGGAGGTACTTTTATATGGGTGCTATACGAAGACGTGGACCTGAATATGCAATTTTTGTCAAATGATCTATAATCTATTGCGCACTTCAAATCCGAAATTTGAAAAAATCCGGCTATACGAAGACGTGGACCTGCATAAGTAATTTTTTGTCAAAGGCTTTAGTATCCACTACGAACTTCGAATATCGGGAGGTACCGTTATATGGGTGCTATACGAAGACGTCGACCTGAATATGCAATTTTGTGTCATATGCTGTAGAATCTATTGCGAACTTCAACTACGGAATTTTAAACAATTCCGGAGAATAATGTAGCTAAAATCATCAAAATACCGAATATTGGGAGGTACCGTTATATGGGAGCTATACCAAAAAGTGAACCGGCACGGCTCATTTTCGAACTTAACCTGCCTACTGAAAAAATATACATGTGTGCAAAATTTAAGCCTTTAATCTAATTTTGTTCGAAAGATAGCGTGATTACAAAAGACAGGCAGACGAACTGACAGACGAACATCGATAAATCGATTTAAAATTGTACGCTGATCCAGAATATATACTCTTTGTGGGGTCTAACATGAGTATTTCGAGAAGTTACAAACGGAATGACAAACTTAATATACCCTCCATAGTATGGTGGAGGGTATAAAAATTCTACGAAGTGACAATGGACGCGAGTAACTTAATATAGCATACAGACTCTATGATAAAGAATTTCACTGCATTATTGAGAAACGTGATGTAAGATTTGAAGAAAGTATATTCGAGAATTTCCCAAGTTTCGAATGTTCCCGTTGATGAAGATGCGGTAGAAGATGGTTTTAATACTGCTGAAGAAGGAGAAGATATTACATGTGAAGAAGAAGAATCTGACGAAAACGCACTAAATAATGAGAACCAAATGGAAAAAACTCAATCACAAGAGGAGCTCGTTGTTTCTGACATTCAGCCACAGGGGGAGAATTCGGAAAATAGTTTTCAAGGGTAATCAAAAGGATGAGGAGGTCATCCTAAAATAATTCGTGATGGTAAGCCTGGCGGACCTAAGAAGCAATATAATATGATAAATGATAACACAAGTAAATATGATAAATGTCAACACAAGTAAATTTGTTTCCTCAAACTCTAACAGAAGCAGTATTTAGCAATACATCAGCGGAATGGAAAAAAGCTATGAAGATTGAATACAATTGTTTGAATAAAAATCGAACCGGACCTTGTTTATTTGCCAACTGATAAAAATGCGATTGGATGCAAATGGGTTTATGACATAAAAGCTACGAAAAATGGTGATATAGAAATATGGTGTGAACTATCATGAAACATTCTCACCAGTCATACGTTATGCTAACATAAGACTTGTATTTGCCATAGCTGTTAACAAAGGTATGCATATACACCATATTGATGTTGTTAGTGCTTGTTTGAATGGTGATCTCAACGAGGAAGTCTACATGCAGCAACCAAAGATGTTCTTTGATGAAATACATCTACGGTCTTAAGTAATCTGGCCATGCGTGGAATGCAAAGATAGACTCATGTGTGAAAAAGATTGGATCCTCAAGCTGTGATAATGAATCATGCTTGTACAAAATGAAAGTAGAAGGCGAACTTGTTTTATTAACAGTATATATTGATGACTTTCTTATTGCAAATAAAGATAAAGCTTTTATCAAAAAAATAAATGAAATAAAATTTAAAATATCGATTGATTTTGATGTTAGTGACAAAGGCCCAATACAGCATTTTCATGTGTGAAAAAGATTGGATCCTCAAGCTGTGGTAATGACCCATGCTTGTACAAAATGAAAGTAGAAGGGGAACTTGTTTTATTAGCAGTATATATTGATGACTTTCTTATTGCAAATAAAGATAAAGCTGTTATCAAAGAAATAAATGAAATAAAATTTAAAATATCGATTGAGTTTGATGTTAGTGACAAAGGCCAATACAGCATTTTCATGTGTGAAAAAGATTGGATCCTCAAGCTGTGATAATGACCCATGCTTGTACAAAATTAAAGTAGAAGGCGAACTTGTTTTATTAGCAGTATATATTGATGACTTTCTTATTGCAAATAAAGATAAAGCTGTTATAAAAAAATAAAAAAATAAAATTTCGATATCGATTTAACAGTGAGTAACACTCAAAACACCTTATTGAAAAAGCATAACTTGGAACAGTGTAAGTTGAAGTTCGTAATGGATACTATACCCTACGACAGAAAATTGTCTGTGCAGGTCCACGTCGTCGTCTAGCTCCCATATAACGGCACAACAGTTAAGTTGATCATCTAAAATTTCAGCAGCAGTAAATTGTATATTTCCAACTTTTTTTCTCAAGCATGTGGAAATTCTACATTTAATGCGGTAAAATTCTAATTTTTTTATAGCAATATAAAACTTTGTCGACACGTGCACAGCGTCTGTCATAACGCCGAACTTCAGACTTAATAATTTTTCCAATAGTAGCAGTGCAATTTTTTTAATACCGCATATTGACGGATAGGACAGTTTCTCAGAATCCTGGAAAGAGCTATGTTGTGTTTTTGTTAGAGTTCCGTATTTACAAGATATCTTGCGGCTTTGTAAATCTTCGACGTTCTTATCGTTTCAGTCATGAAACTGTGTTCGTATTGCAGTGTGCACTTAAGGTCAACTTGCTCAACTTCAGTTTGATTGACTGTTCGCAGAAGCACATTCACAGTTGTATTTAACTGAATTGGTACGTTAAAACGGCACCACTTACAGCACAGTGGCGATTGTATCCTAGGGTATTAAGGGTATTCTAGCTAAAATAAATCGATCTTCTAACTGTGTTAAACCATGAAGGTCAGCTGGTATGTCTGGGAAATGTAATCCTTTAGAAAGGCATATTGAAGGTATTTTTCCACCTTGAGCAATTTTATAGCATGTATTACAAAATTTGTATGTTTTATTTCTGAAGAAAACTCAGATGTGGATATTTCCGCAATAATGTGATGTTACTGATATTTTTAATTTGTTTAATGAACCAAAGCACTCCGCAGCAAATACAAATTTCTGTTGGACCCCTCCTGGTTATGTCGTAGAAATCGCTCAATTGTCCTGACCTGAGTCTTATGGTGTCTGCTTGTAACATTTCCCTGCGGGATTCTGGGGAAAGATACTTCTCTCCGACTGACGGTTATTTTTAAGTTCACGATTGTAAGGATTCATCCGATGAATTAAGACACGACAATGTCTAGTCCTATTCTGCTCCTGAAATTCCTGACTAGCAATTCGTCGCGCTTCGCGATGTTGTTCAGTATTACGAATTTTTTCAATTGTGCGATAATCTACATCGCGTCTTCGAACATTGCGACGTTGTGGGTCCAATTCACATTCGGTATGTAGCTCTCATTACGTCTACGTTGGGAACGACGAAAAGTATCCCTCTCTTGCTCAAGTTGTTTGTACGTTTCATCCTGCCGACGAACTTGACGGTTGAGAACATCTCTCTCGTTCCATTTCTCTATACACTTCATCTTGCCTACGGGCGTGGTGGCTTGATGCTTCTCTCACTCGCTCTATTTCTCTAAACATTTCATTCTGTAGAAGAACTTGGTGATTATGTGCATTTCTCTCTCGTTCTTGTTGTCTATAAACTTTGTCCTGCCAAAGAACTTGGTGTTTAAATGCATATCTTTATAGCTCTCTATAATTTTAATCTTGGCGACGAAGCTGGTGATTTAATCCGTTTCTCTCTTGTTCTTGTTGTCTAACAACTTAATCCTGCTGTAGAACTTGGTGATTGAAGGCATCCCTTTCTTGTTCATGCTGACTATAAACTTCGTCTTGGCGACGAACCTGGTGACTTAATGCATCTCTCTCGCTCCATCGATAGCTTAATGTATCCCTATCTCGTTCTAATTGCCTCTGGGATTCATCTTCCCGACGAACAGAGCGTTGAGCAGCATTTCTTTGTTGCTCGGATAAACTGTAGGTTTCGTCCTGACGACTTGATCGTTCATTGTGTCTGACGAATGACGAAAGTATTTTCTGGATTGTATTTATGTTTTGTCCCGTAAGGTAACAAAAATATAATGTTACTAGTCTGTTTGCAATTTTTACTTTGTCCCATAAGATGACAAAAGTACTTCTTGTTAACACATTTAGCACTTTGGTTTTTTATTTTTCCCGTAAGGCAACAAGAATTTTTTAATTTTTTTAATTTCTTTGCTTTTCCTTGTTGGGCGTCAATTAACGAATGAAAAACTATATAACTTAATCTAAAAAGACACTTAATAATGTTCGTAATTGCGAATCGCCTCCACTTTTTCTGGGCTCGTTTTGATGCCATCTCTAGATACAGTGAAGCCAATATATTCAACACTTTCCTTAAAACAGTGAGATTCGAGAAACTCTCATGTTGGCTTCAAGCAATCTAGTCAAGACCCACGAAATGTGTCTAATGTGGTCTTCCTCGTTTTCGGAAAAAATTATAACATCGTCCACATAAGCATAACATGTCTTTCCGATTTGTTCTCTCAAGACATCATCAATGGCTCAGGCCAAAAGGAAGTCTACAAAATTCATATTTTCATATTGGGAGGTACCGTTATATGGGAGCTATACCAAAAAGTGAACCGGCACGGCTCATTTTCGAACTTAACCTGCCTACTGAAAAAATATACATGTGTGCAAAATTTTATCCTTTAATCCAATTTTGTTCGAAAGATAGCGTGATTACAAAAGACAGGCAGACGAACTGACAGACGAACATCGATAAATCGATTTAGAATTGTACGCTGATCCAGAATATATACTCTTTGTGGGGTCTAACATGAGTATTTCGAGGAGTTACACACGGAATAAC